TTTTTTAACGAGCGTCAGAAATAATTTGCTGGGCAGCTAACCGCACAAGAGAAACGTCGATTTGTCCTTCACGAAACATTCTGTAAATTTTTTCAATTACGGGCAATGCAAAACCAAATGCCAGAAGTTGTATAAAGCGATCGACAATACAGCGTTGTCTACCAATAATCACTTCGGTCAATCTCATTTGATTTGCTTGGCGATCATAAAGCCGACTGAGGAGCTCAAACACTCTGAAAAATGCAGCTGTACTGTACACCAAATATATTTTTCGATTTTTAATTTTCAAGGGAAAATGGCTATTGTCTTTGATATCCAGGATCCTCGGAATCAGTAGACGATAAAAATTTAACGTCGCGAATTGCTAGATTCTATTGAGAGTGGCAAATTTAGCAAATTTTTCTAAAAGATAATAAGGCTCTGGGCAGAATTGGCTAGTTTAAAAGAAAATTCTCTAGAAAATAGGTTTTTTCGAAGGCGGCATTTTCCAGTGGGATATAATTTTTTTTGTGCCAGAGTCCCACATCTTATTTAAAACCCCGTTGCAAGTGCGACAAGTCAAGGCCAAACCCTTTTTGTATTTCGCTACACTTTGTTCTCTCAGAATTTATCCGGGCTATGACACTGTTCCCAGCAAAAATCAAATTTTGGCAGGGTTTTCACTCATGAAAAATAAGTTGAAAGCAATATGGGCCATGCTAAGCATACCACTACACATTTATCAGCAAATAGTGAACGGTTTGCTTTATTTATAAACGCAAACTAACGCGTATCCGGTGAGAAAGTGGAATTACGTACAATGTGTCGCTAAAAGTACCACGTTTTATGAGATGTCTTGACAACTTATTTCAGGAAATCCACAGCGCTTTGAAGCTTACTTGGTATGAAGACTTGGATGTTTTGTCACAATCTCGTCCAGCAAAGCCATGTGAGTTGGTTCCAATTCACCAAAGTCATCATGAAGCATCAATCCTTGCAGGTAATGAAGAACTCCATAAGCGACGCATGGGAAGCCAACTCCTAAAAAAGTTTTTTTGAGGTGCTAGTGCAAATATTTTCCAAAATTTTTTTTAAGTAATATATTATGAAAAATTCCTTTTTATGCTTTTGTTTATACGCATATTACAAAAACGTATATTGCGATGACCTTGTCTGCGTGTGTATATGTGTGTATGCTCGTCTGTCCAAGCATTTCAACTCACCGCCCAAGCAAGCTTCGGCGCTGAAATTTTGCCAACGGGTTCGCTGGCCAAGTGCATTCCTGGGCCGCAGCACCATCTTTCACGCAAGTCTATACCTCGCATACGAGGGGGTAAAAGTTTTAACGAGATAATCGCTAACTCG